AGCCTCCAAAATTCTGAGTGTATCCCTTTCTCAGCTCCATAGAGAGAAAATCGTACTAAACACCTTGATACCCATGAGTTGTGGAGCTGAACCTTCAGCTCAAAACATATTTGATGTTGCATGTGTTAGGGTTGGTGATAAGATGGCTATGGCTTGACACACACTCATACATTTGGCAAGTGTTTTTAATATCTTGATGATCATGACATTGTTAAGTTCTTGTGGCGTTGAGTTTGAAAAGAGCATGAATTGTAGTTAAGTTGGAATTTAATAATTTCATTCGTATCATGGACCAATCACTCATTTTCTCATTTTGCATTAAATTGCTAGGGAATAACAATAAGCAAGTTAGGGGTGTGATAAGATTGTAAAATATGATATTTTCCCATTTTAATTGTTGTATTCATATAATTATTTGATGTCAAAATACACTCATTACTCTTATGTTTTGATTTAGATCGCAATTTGATGGAAAATGTGAAATTTGGAAGAAATTAGTAAAAAGGGCCAAAGTGGAAGAAAGTGAAAATTCAGAGATCAAGTTGCAAATAATCCATAATGAGATGAGCGATGAAATGATGATTCAAGAAAGTTAGGAGTCAATTGTGTGTAATTTGAAGTCAAAAGAAGTGAAATATGATCATAACATTTTAACAAATCAATTCCCAATTGAGAAAGTTACACACCGATTTTCAGCCTCATGTTATGACTCATTTTTGACATGGAAAATGATCGAATTGGAAGGTGACTTCTAAAGAAACGTTGTAGCCCTTCGAGTCAGCTGTCCAACGCAACTTGAATCATCTCAATCAAACATTGGAAGGAAAAGGTATAGCTAAAATACTAAAAGCTATCTGGGGAAAAAAAATTTGAACTATACAGTCACATAGTTCAAAATCTATGCGACCGTATAGAAGGATCTAGGGAACTTTTGGGCGCCACACATTTGTCCTATGCGATCGCATGACTTATAAGCATGCAATTGCATAGTTATCCTTCGAGACCAAATTTGTCAAATTTCTAAATTGACACCATCACTTATGAAAACACGTTTTGATATATTTCTTAAGTCCAAAAACACTCCAAAACGTGAGGGATTAACTGGGGACTCCATTTTTTCTCTCATCTTTGGCTAAGTAACTCCATGGAAGGCTAAGAACAACCAAGCGAAGCTACAAACGAACTCGATTGGTGTCGGTATTTTAATGTTTCTTCATAAATGTGTTATTATTCTTATTATTAAAACATTTCTGAGATTGTGATTTCTTGTTTTTTTTATTAGTACATTATGAAATTGATTTAATTTGTACTAAGTTCTTTATAGAATTAATTACGTTCTTTCTATTGAAGAATTGAACTATTCATTGAATGTTAATTTCATTTACCTATTGGTGTAATCCTTTACAATTTTATGCATATTGTAAATGATTGTTTTTTGATTTGATTTCAATAGATTAAAATGATGTGTATAGTATTGAAAATCTTAATCTTAGAACTATTGTCAGATTAAAGGGATTTTATATGCCATATCTTCCAATCAACACATTATGAATGAGAAATCTTTAATTGGATAAAGAGTAAATAATATCTCGCACCAGTTTTAAATGTTTCAACACGAATTGATATTCTATGAGGACAATTTGTTAACATTATATTTGATATATCTATGATATGCCTGAAGCGTGATAGTGGTCGATTTTAATACAAAAAATCTTCAAACGAAAATGGAGCAATTAGCAAATGTGGTCTCATTAAGGTGATATATAATCTTGATGAGTATTTAGACATAACAAATTTTAAAATGTCAAGAAAAGGTTCAGATACCTGAGATAATGAAATTTGAAATATCTCAATAAGTTATGTCATTATGGAAAAAGAAATAGAATCGAAAAGAAAAATTGTCAACAACAATTTTGCACATGATGTACTGTATTATATAACAAGGAATCAAAATAAATAGGTCGAAATATATCGATTGAAGTAACAATTAACCAAATAAAACTGACGCATGTGATATAATCGCCTTAGCGAATATTTGTTGAATGATAGTTATAAAAATGACGATATCTACCCATATATTTTCATAAAAAAATATTAAATTTACAATTGTGACAGTTTATGTTGATAATTTAAATTTAATTGTAACTCCTGAAGAACTAACAAAATTGCTGATTATTTAAAAAAGAATTTGAGATGAAAGATTTCGTAAAAATCAAATTTTATCTTGGATTGCAGATTAAACATTTCCCAAAATGATTTATTTGTTCATCAAATACATGTACAAAAAAAGTTTCTAAAACGTTTTTATATGGATAGTGTACATCTATTAGCATCATCTATGGTTGTTCGATCACTTAATGTGAAAAATAATCCATTTTGTTCACTTGAAGATGGAGAAAATGTTCTTAATCTCGAAATGCCATATCTTAGTGCAATTAAGGTATTGACTTATCTCTCAAACTGCAATCAACCCGATATAAATTTTTTTGTAAATCACCTTGTAAGATATAGCTATACACCAACTCAAAATTTATTAGAATGGTGTTAAGCATATTTTTCGTTACCTAAAGGGCACTGTTGATTTGGAATTATTATATTCTCAATGGTCGAGATCTGCTTTAATGGAATATGTAATGCAGATTATCTCTCTTATCCACATAAAGTTAAATTACAAACAAGATATGCGTTTATATATGATGGAACAGTCATATCATAGAGATCTGTGAAACAATCCTCGACAACAATATCCTCAAATTATTATGAAATTATTGCAATCCATTAAGCAAGTCAAGAATGTGTATAATTAAGGAACATGACACATCGTATCCAAGCATTATACTGGTTAACTTCAACAAAAGATAGTTCAACAATTTTGTATAAAGACAATGCAGCTTATATTATACAACTCAAATGATACTATATCAAAGGTAATAGGACGAATTATATTTCTCCAAAATTCTTTCATACACATGAGTTTCAAAAGAAGAGCGATATCGATATCCAACAAATTTGCTCAAATGACAATGTGACCGATTTATTCACAAAGGTATTGCTGACATCTACATTCAAAAAATTGGTTGATGAGATTGGAATGTGTCGACTCAAAGATTTTCAATTATCAAAATTGGGGAGAGTAGCTGTACTCTTTTTCCTTCGCTTACGTTTTAACAAACTGGATCTTTCTAGCAAGATTTTAATGAGACAACATTTATTTTTAATACTTAAAAAATAATTGTATTCTTTTTCCTTCGTTTGACTTTTTTGTCCCATTGAATTTTTATCAAGTAAAGTTTTAATGAGAGATATATTTTGTAATGTATTATTCATGGAGGAGTGTTGTAAATGGTAAATTTATTAGGGAATGACAATTGTATCCCTATAATCCTAGAAATTATTAACATTGTATCCCTAATTCTTCTCTATAAATATAGGACTTTTGTTCTTAATAAAATACACATAAATCTATTGATTTTTATTCTCTCTTCTTTAATATATATATATATATATATATATATATATATATATACACGAACATCAGGCTGCCTTAAGGAACGAGCCTGACTCCATTTCATAGGATGGAATGGTCGAACGGTGTGTCCGGCGCGGCTACGTAAAGGCTACACAACTCATAACCTACTTAATGGATAGAAATGTGATGATCGATCAAATCTATGCTATGGGTAGAGTGAATAGTGAAGATGGACTGACTCAGCTTTTTTAATTGGATTTTTGTTCAATTATTTAAGATCAGTTTTTTTTTTTTAACTATAATCAAATAAATTTTCACATTAATATATGAATTGATCAATTGGATCGATCTTCAAAATATTTAACCCTATTTGGTTTGAATAAAGGGTAATTATATTACCACCACAAAATTTATTTTCTACACCACATTATAATCACACCACAATTAAAATATATTTTCAATAATTACACCACAACAAATTTACAATTATACTCGTAATCCAATAAAAACTAAAAATTTTAAAAAAATGTAGTTTACTTATCATCCCAATATTACTCGTCATTTTTTTTATCCTTTAAACATTTTCACTAATTCTAAAACAAGAATTTGCCGTGTCTTTTCGTCACAGAGATTTTGTACCAGGTGCATTATAGATGAAAAATATTATCCTTTTGTCACAGAAAATTTGCACCACAATAGCCTTTTTAATTGCTTTTAGCGAGATTTTGATTGTAACATTATGTTCGATTCTTTAACGTAAATTTAGACCATTTGCAGGAAGATTCCATGTTTGGCTTCCCATCATTCTCTCTCTTTTTTCTCAATTTTTTATGGTTTTGGCGTGTTATAGATGGAGAAAAATTCATATACATGCATATACAAAAATTCAAGGAAACTGACAGATCTCTTATACAAAAATCCATGAAAGTTGAAATATAAATTCATAATTTTACATGCTTGTTTTAAAATCATGATAAATCTGTTTGACTTAAAAAAAAATAAGATCCTTAATTTTCAAACTCAACAAATAAATTGAAAAAATGAATTCATTTACATTGAGGAAAAAATTATCTTGTCGTCGTGAAGGAAGGCAAAAGTCGTCAGAAAAACTATGAACAATGATGGTGTAATAATAATTTATTTAATTAAAAAATATATTAAAATTCTAATTATGTAATTTTACTTATGGATATTTTAGTAAATAAGAAAATTGTGATGTACTTAATAAAATTTGCAATGGTAATATAATTACCCTTGAATAAAACTTAAAACATTTGGAGAAACATGTTGTTCAAAAGATGATAAAATTGTAAATTCCATGAAATGTATAGTTAAGTTAAAAATGAATTTGAGAAAAAATAAATTTTAAGTGGAGGCAAACATGGACATAGAAGTTGTTTGGCTCAAGTACTGTTTGGTAGTTGGTGACAAACTGCCATAACGAGTGGAAAGGCAAACTAAAGCTTTCTCCTCGTACAAAACACAAAAACACAAGTTGATCGTCACAAAATTTTGAACCATTGACCAGTTGTCACTGCGGATTCCCGCACACTTGTAAAATTTACACACGTGCCTTTTGACTAATCTATGACTTGAGAAGGAGAACCTTCCAAACATGCCCTAATAACTTTCTCTATCCTACTTTCTCTCTCTAACAACCCTGAACTTCGATCACTTCTGGTCTCCGAAGGTTAATAATTTGCAAAATTTATTCAATTGCTTCAATATTCAAACTGGGTTTGATTAATTGAATGAGGTCAGTGTTTTATTTTCGTTATTTGTCACTGGTTTATTTGATTAGTTTCACTGGATTTTCTTGTTTCTTGATTGAGATTTTACAAAAAAAGGATTGATGCATAAGCTGAAAAATTCACTTGAAATCCAGTAAAGTTTTCGTCTTGGCATTTCTTTTATAATTCTTGAAGGTTTCTTGGGTAATTTTGTTGTAATTTAAGCTTATGGTGTGTTTAATTTGTTTTGTCTTTGATTTATAGAATTTGAAATCTAAATTAAGTAATTCAAATTGTTTCGAAGCTTGATTTGTACACGTGTTTTTGCTATTTTTGCAGAATTTAGTTGTCCATTGTGTAACTGTGCTCATCGAGGTTGACTTTTTGATGGAAATGGACATGAATTAGGGTTTGGGATCGAGAAAAGAAGTATCGAGTTTTTGGAGTTTTGTGGGTTTTCTTGTTTTCCCCAATTACTTTGGATTTTGATGGTAGCTATGAATTCAGCACTCGAAATGCCAGTAGATCGGCATTGTTTCCGAATAGATACTTCAAAGTTAAAGCTTCAGATTGAGAGGAGGGTTGGCCGGCTGAAGTCAGAGAAATATTTTAATCTGTTGAATAGTTTTTTAAGTCTCAGACTTAGCAAAAGAGAGTTTGATAAGCTATGTATTGAGTTGTTGGGGAGAGACAATATATCTCTTCATAATGGGCTAATTCGAGCAATTCTCAAGAATGCGAGTGTTGCCAAGACTCCTCCTAAACGCAGCAAAGTCCAACCTCCACCAAATGTTAAAGTGCCGAATGGGTATCAAAGAAATAGTCTTCAATCGATCTGTAGAGACACGTTTCCACAATCTCCTAGGAAGGGGAGAACTCTGACCCCTCGAGATCGCAAGTTCAAGGACAGTCCAAGCCCACTGGGGCCACTCGGGAAGGTTCAAGAGCAACAGAGTGCTACTGAGTTGCTATCATTGGGTAGCCGACCTCCTGTTGAGGTTACATCTGTGGAGGATGGTGAAGAGGTGGAACAATGTGCAGGAAGCCCTGGAATTTATAGTAGAAGCCCTCTAAGAGCTCCTCTCGGCATCTCTCTTAATGCAGGAGGTACAAGGAAGGTATTGCTTAATGAACCACCACCTTATGAGAACTGTTGTACAACTAGGGATTTACCCGATACCAGTTCTTTGAGGAAGAGGTTGGAACAGAAGTTTAAGACAGAGGGTTTGAATGTCTCGACCGATTGTGCAGGCTTGTTAAACAATGGATTGGATGTGTTTTTGAAGAGATTAATAAAACCGTGCCTAGATTTATCTGCTTCGAGGTCTGAACACCAGCTGCAAGATAAAGTTCACCATCAGGATATATCTGTTAGAAATAAGATGGGGTCCACATATATAAAGAAGCCACCTAGATCATTTTCTGTGTCAATGCCAGATTTTCAAGTTGCGATGGAGTCGAATCCCCGGATACTTGGAGAAGATTGGCCAGTCAAACTTGAGAATGTTTCCTTTCGTGCTTCAGATTATTACATGGCAGAATAGTCTGCCATACTTGTTATTGTGACACTAGTAGCTGTTCTAACAGTGCTGTTGACGGAGTTCATAAGAACAATACGTGGTTTGAAGCTACGGAATTTTTTGGAGGAAGTTGATTAGGTTGTATATACATCACAAAGCTGATTTTTCTAAAGTGTGACGTCTTACCTCAAAGTAAAAGGATATGGATACTAGTAAGATTGTAGTGATGACATATAGTCCGATAGCTTTCTTTTGATAATATAATATCTTGTTATCTCATTGACCTTTATTTGTTAATAAATATTATTTTTTCTTGTTGAGCTTCTTAAGTACGATTTCATTCAGGATATTTCTATTTAACTTTCATTGTGTTTGTTAGCTTTTAGAATTATCTCGTCTGGATTTCCTCTCTGCAAATCAAGTATTGGTATGTATTTCTTTCTACTTTGTGCCTGCTCGAGTCCATACAAGTTTAGGTGTAAGCTGTCTACAAATGCTTTACAAGTTTTCAGTATTACTATTGGAAATCTATGGAAGAGAATATCACAGAGGATCTCTATTGGAAAAAATCATTTTCACAATCAGAGTATCAGACTACAGCATGAAAATTGTATGTTCTGTTGGATCAACTCTGTCACTAATGATGATTAACTATGAGCATACATTGTTTCAAGATAGGAACGGCTGTCTGCAGGATGCACTTGACAAGTGAATCTTCAATTACTTATTTATCTGGTTACTCGCGGCTAAAACCAAATTTTGCTTATACATTTTGTTTAACACAAATCTTGAAGTGTACATGATTATTGAAGTTTTGCAGTTTTTGTTCTCCTATTTTTAGAGTGGCATTATTTTGGACACTCAATCATCCAGTCGAGTAGCTTATTTTGGGAGAAAAAAACTTAAGTGGATGAGAAAAAAGTCTAACTTCTTGAATCTATGCCAAGTGTCATTTTAAGAGGGGTACAAGGTGGCGTGTAAAATAGCATAATATATTCAAGAACCTCGCTTTTCGAGTTCTTGCTGTGTTCCCTTGTTCTGATAAGGAGTTAGGACCTGATATTACTTCTTCCATAGAGGGAGGCAGTGAAAATAACCTGATCACTGTTTAGAGGTGTAATATGGGCTGCGCTGTCCAAAAGTTCAGCAAGGTCCATGCCTGGCCGCCATGGGCTTGAGTGGCCCAACCCATATTTACACCCTAGTCATGGCCATCAAAAAGTCAGCATCGAGTTCTCGTCTGATCTTCCACATCTCGACCTGTCCTAGACCAGTGGCAGTATCTACCTATTCCACACTGGTGAAAACTCAATCAGCAAACTGTCATTGCTTGTAGAGAATGTATGTTCTAATCAACATTACAATTACATTTGCTGCTTTGCAGGGTTTTAGTGTTAGTTGCCCTGTTAAAGATTTTGATTTGGTGATTACGTTTAGAAAAGCAAACTGCTATATCTGGAAAACTGCCCTTTCCCTTTCAAAGAAGCTGTATCAAAACCTGATTAATGATTTTGTATATTAAAGTTAAATTATTTTAACCTCGACAACAAATTAATTGCTTTTTTTGGCAATTGATTAGTTAGCTGTTTCATTACTGGTATACAACAGTTGAATTTTCAAATAATCTACTGATTTGTACAATCATGATTAGTTGGAGTCTTATTGGGTGTTCGAGGCTTCAAGCTCGATAGGACATTGCTCGCTCAATCCGTCCCTGGCCAACGCATGCCTTATGGTCGACTTGCTTTGGCAAATTTCGTACCTTCATACTCGATCACTCCGTCAAAACTTCTCTAGAATTTTTGTGAAATAGAAAATCTGGTCTTCGTGCATCTTTACATTTCAACAATTTAAATACCTCATCTTCATATCTAGGGTTTGTTTGAGCCTATTTTTTAGGAGAATAGAATTTGTAATAGTGATTTTTTGAAGAATGTATAATTAAAAAGTAGAAAAATAGCTTTGGATTTACGTCACACATTACTGTAAATTTTCTTGCTCAAACCATTATTATCACTTGCAAAGTACGTACGAATTGATTAAATAATGTTATACAATACTAAACAAATTATTTTTTATATAATTTCGTCTTTTCTAATATAACATACCAAACATAAAGCATACACTTTTCTCGAGAGAGAGCCAACTTGTATACGGTGAGATCCAATTATGGGAGAGCCAGGTAATGACATTTTAGTGTCTCCCTTCTTCTTACAAACAACCCACAAAAAATGTGGTTTTGTAAGTTTTTCGTCTCCCCCCCCCCCCCCCCCCCCCCCCCCCCCAAAAAAAATTTCTTTGATTTCTGAGTGTAAAACATATTTTAAACTTGGTGACAGATTAAACCATACTGATATGGTAGAAATTGAAATACCGACTCTTCATGCTGTACAACTTTTATCTTTCTTGAGCCTGCCTCTTCATCACCAACCAAGATAGTGATTAGTGACCATGCTAATGGACTCGAAGTCTTCCAAATAGGAAAGTGAACAATGCATCCATATTTTGCTCCTATTTGTCTACCATTAAAATAGGAAATGAATTTTGGAACAGTGAATTTTTGGAGAATATGTGATCAAAAGATAGGGAAAAGTTTTTGGTTTATATGCAAAATATTTATTACGAGAATGTGTGATTGAAAATGAGTTTGAGAAAAAAGAGTTTTGAAATAATGGTAGACAAAATTATAGGAAAAATTAAAAGGACACTACATAAAAATTATGTGCATTCTAACAATCACGTCCTCGTCAGCTTCATATTTTCTTCGTATGTTGCAGTGTGGAGTTAACTCGACTCTGACATTGGGCCTGAAAAGCTATAATGGAAGGAGAAAGGCTGGTGAAACACTAGTGCCATCAGATTCTGGACTGAAATTTTCTTCTTCTGAGTCTTTCTGAATCTGGAGGAATGAGGGGAAAAGTTATAGGTCAAGAAAGATCTCTTTTTTCTTTCTTTTTTTTTGGGTATGGGGTCGTGAGTCCACGACTCATTTGCTAGCCTCAAGGATAAATTACATTACTCTCAATAGCAAGATCGCGTAGTTTTTTATGAGCTTATTCAGTCCCATTTAACAGTTTTTTTACAAGCTTATTCGGTCCCATAAATTAAATTACATTACATTAGGTTGCTTGGCTCAGCTTGCCCCATTTAACAGTCCAATGACACTCTTATTCAGAAGCACAATCATCATCATATTCAAAATGCTCTTCCTTATTTCTATCAACATGTTTCTTACACAATGATTTGCATATATATCACAGAGGAAGAAAAATAATTATACAGAGAGGAAAAGAAATACAGAATCGAAATCCTCTTCCTAAGCCCACTACATATTTTTCATTTGAGCACTAAAAGAAATGAAATACAATCCTATTTTATCATGATATAGAGTGCCTCCAATTTTTACTTGGTCTATTTCGACCTTTGTTGTTCTGCGGCACAATGGCGTCAGCTCGAAGAATCTTGCCAAGTGTCTTCGAAACAGAGCTCATCAATGATTTTCGAGGCAAAGGAGGTTTTCCAGATGATGGATGAGAGATTCCTATTAACGGACTATTAACGGCCGATTTATCAGTAGGTTTCTCCATTTCTTTCAATCTCATTTTCATTTTCGCCAACTCTAGTTTTAGTTGCTGGTTTTCTCTGCGTAAATTTGAGAGCTCGTCCGATACTGGATGGACATCAATGGTGTTCTGAACCACTTCGGCCGGAAGTGCATGGGATTCACTGAGACTGCTATCCGTAACTTCTCGTATGCGCTGTTGCTCGTAGTAAAGCACCTGAACGACGGTTTGGACAGGGAGTCTGTCGTTCTGTGCAGCGTGGGCACAGGCTTCCCGGGAGAGCTTTTGACAGTCCATCACGCTGCAAACTTTCTTTCTCTCCATGTCACTCAATGCAGGATGAGCCTATAGAATACATGAAAAAGTGTTATGTTGCCCTGATCTGGATTATAGTGGTTCACGCTCAACCTGAGATCTACGCCCACTTATCAATGTAAGAGGATCAAGATTTAAGCGACGTAGCGGATCAGAATACAGATGAGAGAATTCACAAACCTTCAAGAAGATATCAATGGCTCTGTACATTCCATCTTCTGTTATTCTATACTGTTCGGGGATAAGTTCTGCAAGGCCGATGAACTTTGAAACGGATAAATTGCGATCAGAAGATATTTCAACGAGGTAATTCTCCATTAGCCTCGTCACTCGCTCCCTGTCAGATGGTGAAGGGGAAATATAGTCTTCATCTGCATTACAGCCGAATCTAGTAGTACCCTCCATTTCAAAATCGAGGTAATTCATCATGATTCGCTGCACGGTTTCAACATCAAACAATGTTTCCCCTGTGAAGGAATAAGAAGGGATTAATAGATCATCTAACACGGCCTGTCCAAGTTGCAAAGCCATCCTCTTCTCCAAGTCGAGCCTGCAGGCGACTGTCGTTTCTAGATATATTGCAGCTCGAAGAAGCATGGAGAGAAAGCTAACTGACATCGAGTTCTTCTCTCGTGGCAGAAGACTAACTATTGTTTCTATAACAACCCTCTTCTCGTGTTCTTGTCTTGGCTCGATTTTTTTCCTACTCTTTCCGAATATTTCCTGTAATGGAATGAAAAACAGAGTTATTTACGAATCTCATGCAGTTGAGAATCCAAATATATGGGTGAGATCTCACCAAGCCTCGAAGAGATTTCTGTGCATAAAGCATTAATAATGGACCAAGAGCATATTGTTTGTAACCCCTTGCAGCCATTGCAATGAGAACTCTTTGGAAGAAATCAATTCGAAGGACTGTTAAATCTTCAGCCCACCAATCCACAAGGGGCTTTGCATTGGGAGCAGTTGACGACATTAAATCATTTGTGCCCCTCTCTGCCCTCCTCGGGGTGCGAAAGTCGCTATCCTTACAGGCGACGAACGCTATTGTGTCTATGCACCGGCTTACCAGTTCCACTTCCTCGGCAATAGGAAGAAGGTTTTGAGAAGAATGCAAAATGGACACTGCCCCTGAAAGACTTTTTAACGCGACTTCGTTCACATATGCCTCAGTTCTGCTGACTAAATTTTCAAACGCGTAATCCTCTGTCATCTCAAGATACTCTGCTACACATCTAAGCATGGCAATGTTATCTGTAGTAATTTCCAAGTTTATTCCATAGCAAAATTTTGCTGCAAGTTCAAATGCATCTGCCCCTCCGGGAATATCAGGGATGTCAACGACAGAAAGATCAGAATCATTGGATTCTGACACCAACTTCCTTAAGTATCCACATTTTGAGAACAATGGGAACTGTACGGGATTACAAAAAACACTTCTTTTTGATGAAGTAGCTCAACAGAAACAATTTTGAACATCGAAAGGGTACAGAAGAAAAGTACTTCGCAGGAAGTACTAAACCAAATTGTTCAAATTAATAAACTATAAATATGCGGCTTCAATTATAGAGATATTTTACCTTGTGCAAAGAAAAGGAAGTTCCTCCAGCATTAACAGTTACATCACTCGTGATTTCTTGGGAAAAGATCCTGTTAAATATTGAAAGTAAAACTCAATTTCTTCCTATTTTTCACCGAAAAAGAGTTCAGCACAGGTATCAAAACCGAAACAATTTTTTCAGAACTACTTACTAGCATTTGGTGAAATAGTAAATAGATGAGAGAAGGAGAGCAGACCATTCATTAGTCCTCTTCATGGCAATGGAAACGAGCTCCTTTCTATTGTTAGCCATATTTGTATCAGTGGATGTAGTAAACTGCTCCATCATGACAATTATTTAAAGGGTCCTTACCAAATTCACGTGTTCATCGAACTGATTCTTGTTCTCGACAGATTCGGAATCGAAAGCGTGAATCTGTTCTCAACTCCCTGTTTAGTTCATTGGTACACGTTGATCAAGTACTAAATAACTACCATACTTCCTTAAATTCTGAAACAACAGTCTCGGGTTCAGTAATGATCTGATAGTGATCACCAGCCGCTTATTACAAGCCATTATCTCCAAAGCAAAATTCCCATAATAGGCATCATTTTCGCCGCCATGGTTAAAACACATGATATCTGAAAGAGCTGTAATTTTGGAAAATATAAGGATAAGATAGGGGCATACTGCAGAAATGAAAAGGAAACAGATTTGGTTCAATAGTGTGTGGTTGAGACAGCAATGGAATTCCCTTTAGAGATTTATTTCCGTCCACAAAAGTATCAATCATGTCTGTTTTTTTCCTACTAAAAGATTACAGTTTCATTTGGGCAAAACTTAGCTCCACTAGCACACATCTTAGAGCCATGAAGTGTGATGGCCTAGCTTTTAAGGGGTTTGCTTCTGAAGCTCTAAGCCACGAGAAAATTACACGCCTAGTCAAGAAGAATAAGAGAGATTAAAAGATAATTTCAGCCCGAAGATAACACGGGGCCTTCAAGTATGCACACGATATTCATACGCTAGGTTGAATATAATTGCGACGTGTTCAACCTTACACATGGGCGAATCTTCAATGGGGTCCGCTACCTTCACACTAAATTTGAGCTTCAAGATTTTGAAATAAATTTTTCAAGATTTTCAAAAAAAATTCTTATAATTTTTTATTTTGCTATCACAATTAAAATTTTGTGAAATTTGTCCCTATGATCTGCTCTCTCTGACTCCACCTCTGACCGTACAAAAGATGTCTTAGATAAATTGAAGTTGAGACTGAGAGGATAACTATGCAGTTTCAGTACTTCCCATATCTTGATCGAATTATTCTTCTTGTACAATTTCGGATGATAATGTACTCACATGAGGTTGACAACCACGATTTTTTAATTTAACGTGGGCCCCCCTCCCATGTATCTAATTGTAAATCGAAATTGTCAATCCCGATTGTACACATAATACAACTGTAACTTGATGTTGCAGTTTTGACTTCCCTTGACTACATATATATTTTTCTTTATTATGAGCCCACAAAACAGCAAACTTTCACTAAAGTTAAAACTAATAAATATGTGGACTGATCGGTGCTTGGAGATCTGACTCCCCAACCCAATTTGAATTCAATCGCGCTGCTTGTCCCGGCCCGAAAACAAACAAAAGAAGGCTGACGTGGACTTAGCTTAAATAAAAGACGCAAAAGGCCGAGCAAAAACAAAAATAAAATAAATTACAAAAAATTTTCAGCAATATTAGTCTCGTTCGAATTACCTAATTGCCCTGCATGATTTGCATGTAAATCACATTTACCTTGCAATTTGTCGCAATCTTTCTTGATGTGTCATTTCCTCTTTTTTTGTGCTATATACAAACCATGTACGGATCTTTACAAAATCAATGGAACTAAAGTACCGTCAGGCAGGTGGCCGTCAAGGGAAAAAGGTCCAGAAAGATTCATCAAAGTGAGGCAAAGGAGTATACATACAGAAAACGTAAGAAGAAGCCATCAATTTATACATACTGTAAGAAGGTTATGAGTTTAAGAATTTCTTTAAATAAACCTTCTTACAGTATGTATAAATTGATGGCTTCTTCTTACGTTTTCTGTCTGTATGCTCCTTTGCCTCACTTTGATGAATCTTTCTGGATCTTTTTCCCTTGACGGCCACTTGCCTGACGGTACTTTAGTCTCATTGATTCTGTAATATGTATGTATCTTAAAGAAAAAGTATACAATTTTTATGTAGGCAGTAGAATCCATATGGAAATCATTTTTAAATAAATTTAAAGAAATTCTTAAACTCATAACCTTCTTATGGTATGTATAAATTGATGACTTCTTCTTACGTTTTCTGTCTGTATACTCCTTTGCCTCACTTTGATGAATCTTTCTGGACCTTTTTCCCTTGACGGCCACCTGCCTGACGGTACTTTAGTCCCATTGATTCTGTAAAGATCCGTACATGGTTTGTATATAGCACAAGAAAAGTATACAATTTTTATGTAGGCAGTAGAATCCACATGGAAATCATGCATTTTAAATAAATTTAAAGAAATTCTTAAACTCATAACCTTTTTACAGTATGTATAAATTGATGGCTTCTTTTTACGTTTTCTGTCTGTATACTCCTTTGCCTCACTTTGATGAATCTTTCTAGACCTTTTTCCCTTGACGGCCACTTGTCTGACGTACTTTAATCCCATTGATTCTGTAAAGATCCGTACATGATTTGTATATAGCACAAGAAAAGTATGAAGAATTGACTAAAACATGAAAGTTTTATTCAAGAAGAAGGTCTAAGAGTATGAAGAACTCTTAAACTTATTTAATTACATGAAAAGATCCAAGAATGGATCTACCGTCTTTGAGGGTTTAGCCTCTCAGTGTATACATTTGAGAATTCAAAATCAGATAAGAAAATTTTTCTCTAAAAATTTCTCCTCCCTTTCTCTTCTTCAAGTCCTTCTCTTATAGCTTTCCGGAAAGATTCCTTCCTGCTGTCATTTGTTGAATTGTCATTATCAACAGTTTTTCTTTTACCAAAGGTAAAAGCAGTGATAAAGTGAAATGACAAAAGTTTTGTCCTTTTCTATAAATTTTCAAAAATGCTCCCTCTTTTCAAAAAGTTAGTGGCAACTTTGTCAAAAGTTGGTAATTTTTTCAAAAAGCAGGTTTCTTTTTGAAAATTAATCTGATCCATCCTCCTTGGTCTTGCTTTCGGTGGATGTCTTTTCTGTAGTGGATTCAGTCCCTCCACTCGTCTCTCCTTAGTACTCCAAAATGATTTTTTTGAAGATTTATCTTTTTCTTCAAGCAAATGACACCATTTGCATTCATGATATTTTCCAAGACTCTGCTTTAAGGATTTGCAAAGATGTCCTTGGTAGTCTGCTGGTGAACTTGGCAAATTCTAAAAATTCTTTTCAAAATTGTAAAGAATTTTTATTCCTTCATTCTGGATTATTTTTCCTGTCTTGCTTGTAACCAAGATGAAATCAGTTGAATAATTTATCTTGATTTTGGACTCATTGTTGAAAGATTTTAATCCAGTTAAAATCCTTTGGTATGAAAGATTTCTCCAATCTCTAAGGATCATCTCACTGGTAGATTCAACTTTTCCTTGAATTGGTTTTTCCAGGAAAACTTCTGGTACTGTCTTGATTTGAATGTGATGATATCCCTTGATAAGATATCATTCCTTATCCCAGAAAGGGATTGTACTATTAATCTTCAGCATCGTCTGGAGATTCTGATCTTTGATAACAATTCTTTTAAAGCCTTTTAAAACTCTAACTAAATTGCTATCTAGTTTCTGAATTTCATTCATTGATTCACTTAGGATAATCATTTTGATCAATCCACAGTGAAATGCAATTTGCACCATTGTTGGATCTGCATTTTAAAGAAAATATACTATCTAGTTTTTTTATCTATTGTTCCATAATATCCTTTTTCAGGATTGGATGGTCCAATTGTCCTTGCTTCTTCCTCATATGTGAGAAAGTCTTCAAAAGTAATTCCATTTAGAAAATGGCTTTCTTGAGGTTTTGGAATTTTTCCAATTCTTTTGAATCAACTGGGAATAGATTCTATTTGGGTTTCAACAGCATCTTTAAAAGATATCATTCTAACCCTCTGGTTTGCATTTGGTGGGTTAAAGAGTTGGGCTGGAAATCTGGGCCTAGCTCTTAATGGAGTCTGATTTTGACAATAGTTTGGTCTCAAATGGATATTGTCAAATTCAAATAATTGTTTGTATGGCAATGGACTTTGACCTTTTTCTTCATAGAATTTGGTAAAAACTTCATGGGCTTCAGTATAGGTTTTAAAACTTTTGTGCTTGAAGTTTTTTCCTTTCACAAGTGGTTCAACTTGTGTCCAGTTTGTGTAGAAACCTTTTTGTGGTCCATTGAAGATCACATAAAATTTCTTTTCTTCCATTGAAGTATTTACACCAACCAATGATTGATTTTCTTCTTTTGGATTTTGAATATCCGTATGTTCTTGCGAACATTGAGGCTTAAAAGGCTCTCCTGTATGTATTTGGATTTGTGGTCCATGAGATTGAATCTCAGTTTTCGGAATTTGAATTTCCTTTTGTACTTGAGTACATTGAGTTTCGCTATCAGTATTACTGATATTAATCTTTGTTTCTGTATGCTTATCTCCATCAGTTTCACTGATTTTGATTTCTTCTTCCTGGGGCTTCTTTTGAGTAGAACTTTCCCCTTTTGAAATAGCATAAGTTTTGAGAAGTCTATCTAACTTCTTTTTCAAATCATTACCTTTTGCTGTTTTGTTGAGATTTCAATTTCTTCCATCTCAATTTGCATTTGAAGATCTGCAATTTGTTCTTCAATGTTGGTCATTTTTACCTGAAATTGCAAATTCTCTAGTTAAGGAATCAGCTAAAGAATTATTCTTTCCTTTGATAATTTCAATTTTGAAATTATAATGGTTGAACCACATCTGTCATCTAACCAATCTTCCTTGTTTGTAAAATGGATGTACTTTGTTCTTCATAAAAGAATTACAAGTACTTGAATCAGTTCTAATAATAAAATTATCAGAAATTATGTAAAGTCTGAATTTTGTAATAGCCTTTTTCATAGCTAAAATTTCTTTTTTATTTATGTGATAATTTCCTTCTGCTTTAGAAAAAGTTCTAGAAGCATATCCACATAATTTTTCTTCAAATTGATCTTGAGGATCAATAGCTTTTAAAACTGCTCCCCAATGTTCTTGAGATGCATCTGTTTCAATAATCATTTTATCTCATTCTTTAGGATGATATAATGACGGTAAGATCTTTATTTTAGATTTGATTTTTCCAACATAAAGAGTATCCTCTTTAGTCCAAATCCATTTAAAATCTTTTTTCAATTTCTTTTGTAAAGGTGTTCTCAGTTTTGCTAAATCTTTGATGAAAGACTCTGCATAAGTGAGACATCCAAGAAATCTCATCAATTGTTTTTGATCTTGAATTTCATTTGGAAATTCATTAATATGAATTAGAATATGTGGTTTAAATTGTTTATAACCATTGACTATATTCAAACCTAAATATCCAATTTTTTCTTTAAACAATTCTGCTTTCTTTTCAGATAGCACAATTCATGCATTTATTGCTTCTTGCAAAACAATAATTACATGTTTTTCATGTTCATCTTCAGTATCTGAAAATACTAGACACAACAAAATTTTTGATGTTTCTTAAAAATATTGTCCATATGTCTTTGAAAAATACCAAGTGCTTGCTTTAAGCCAAATGGTACTACTTTTCACTGATAGTGTCCTTGTGGACAACTAAAAGCTATAAGATGTTTAGCTTCTTGGTCAAGTATTACTTGCCAGAAACCTGATTTACAATCAAAGGATCAAAAGATTTTCTTTCCTTCAATTAGTTGTAAAAGAATTT